GGGTCGCGCTCGCGGGGGGAGGTGGGTGCTGCCATGATGCAGTTTACTTGGCATTTGAAAATACATTTCCACAAATGTATTTTTAATCTGAAAAGAGCTTCACTGAGTGAGAACTACTGTTAGGAGCTCAGCAGACAGGTTTCATTTTCACCCATGAGCCTGCGGGAGTCATGGGCGGGGTGTGTTGGGAGGTAGGGTCGCTCTGCCATGAGGAAGCCCGGCTTAAAGACACGTCCCAGAAGCGTTTCTGGTCCCCACCTGTTGTTTTGCTCCTCAGCATGGCTGCCTAAAAAGGCTGAAGGATTTCTCAAACATGCATGAATGAGTCAAAGCAAGGCTTTGGGCATGTTTTTTTTTATGAGAGTATAGCATTATAACATAATATAAAACTTAAAAATGTTGATTTTACATGATATTGCCCATTTAAATTGTAGATGTTTTGGATTATTTATATGTTTCATTAAAATCCATACACTGTGAACACACATACCAACAAAACCTGGCAAACACGATATCAACTTTCACATTTGGTGACGTGATAATAAATTGAAACCTGCCTCGGTGCTTTTAATTGATTTTCTTTTGCCTTCTAACTCAGTGAATATGACAAGCACGTTCCTGCTCTGCTGTAGGTGTCCACGGGTCGCTCACCTGCTTTCCAGGGCCACATTGCTGCCCAGCACCCAGCTGTCCTGCAGCTGGACGCATTCCGCCGTGCTCTGCAAGTCAGCCGCCAGGCCGGCTGCAGGGGGTGGGCTCGGGCTCCTTTGATTGGCCAGCGAGCTGCGGCTCAGCGAGGTGATGGACGGGTGCTGCTTGTGTGGGGGCGGGGCCGGTGGGAGGGGAGGCGGGGCTTGTTGACTGGACAGATGGTCACCTGGAGCCAAAAAAAAAGGAGAGAAAAAAAAGACAGACAACAGATTGGTATCATATTCTCAGTGGTGGCCAAAATGAAAGTAAAAACGGTTTTGTTGGGATTGGCGAAAATTTTACAAGATGTTGAAAAACATGACTTTGAAGAAGCAGCAGATGGTAAAGATATGCATCTGCCTTGTATGTAAGTTATGAAAGGCTTACAGCCACTTAACCGACCACGAAAAGTAAATACAAGCAAGAGCAAGACATAAAAATGAGATGCAACCACTGCGGAAAGAGCTGTTTTTATRGAGTTACACATAATAATTGCCACAAAACACCACACGGCTGACAGTTGGGTTCTCTTAGACAGAAGGTCACTTAGAGAGGCAGCTGTTCCTTTATGGGCGCTTAACGCAATGTTTCACGTTTGATTACAGCCAGAGAAGACTCTCAAATAACTAATGACCAGAACATCCATTAGGGCTCTGAAAGAACAGGTTTTCCAATTTCACACAAAGCTGTGTAATTGGCCCCAGAATGGCATGTGGTGATTATCTATCCATCTTCCCTGTTTAAAAGGTAAAAACCCACAGTGCTGACAATTCTGATTTGCTCCAATAAGCTCCAAATGGGTATCATCTTTCTCGCCTTACAGAGGCTCGGAGAATATCGAGAAAGCCGGGAGCTSTGTCTTTTAGGAGCTTCTGTTGTTTTTGCATTGACAGCATGCGTTTGAAAACAAAACACAAAAAAACAATGCCTGAAGGGGTTTAGATTTAGTGTACATATCTACTCTGGAGGTCAGTGCATGATTTAACCTTTGCTTTTGCAAGCATGCATGAGAAGATCAAATTCTGCTCTTTGCTACAGAACAACTCGGAGAGGACACGAGTTGTTTTGAAGAGGGGCTCCTTTAATGACCGTGCAGTATCTCTGTGCGCGGCGCGCGGCCACTTTTCCGTGTGCCCTCCWTGCATAAAACGAGCTGTTCAGTGCAGGCAAATGAGCCGTTTGGTTCCACACCGCTCGGAGGAAACATAAATGCCATTTAGAGCAAGGCAATCATTTCCATTGCTTTGAGGGGAAAAACATTCAGGCTACTGTACATTCAGCCTGTTAATGTAACTGAGGACTTCTTTATTGTGTTCCATACCAAAAATATACTTTAATTAATACTGTAATGAGAATAATTACTAAGAGTAAAGCTCGGTATGAGTAATTTACAGGGGGAATGACCTTTTTAATGAAGCTGCACGTGAAATATATTTCATATAATTTTTAGAAGACCTTTTTTCTCTTTTGTCCACAGACGGATGGACAGGTAGAYTGCTAATAGAAAGAATCAGGAGTAATTAGAATCCGCAGCACTTTTGTGCAGCAGGCCAATCAAGGATTAATTACTTCCTGACTGCAATTACACAGCAACAGCATGTGGCCATAAAGTCCATAAAAGCAAAATCATCAGAAGCAAATGAAGGTTGTTATTTTTCCTCCCCCTTTTTTTYYTTTTTTTTTCTTCGCAGACTGTGATTAGAGTTTTATCAAACCCAATCAAACATGATCCCTTCAGCACCCCACACCACCGTTTTCAAAGCCGGTTCTKATATCTAAATTAAGCATGAATTACCAGAGATCAGTTGCAGCGCTGGCATTTAAAAAAAAATATAAGAGTGCCGCGACTTTGTGATAACGAATACAAGACATCCACTCATCTCCTGGGCGAGACTGTGAGCCCTATTAGGAATGTGCTTAGTAGGCTGATGGAAATTGGAGTTATCTCCCGACACTGGCTGGTTTTACTTCACCTCCAGGCCTCGTGTCACTGGATGAGCCTGCAGCTCCCGTGGGGTTAGCTTCACTTTCCAACTCTAACATTTTTCACATAATTATGCTGCACTTGCGTTTGAGCAACATGTCACTGAAAAGAAAAGAGAAATAAAAGAGTCAGATTCGTCGAGAAATGCAGCCGCAGTTCTGAATGAAGTTGGGACATTGTGTAAATATATATATATAAAAACAAACGATGGGGATTTAGAAATCTGATAAACCCACGTTATTTACAGCAGAACATTGTAGAAAGCATATCAAATGTTTAAACTAAAATAATGTTAAAAATGCTGCTAAAAGTTTAGAGACAGAGGAGATGTGTTTGAGTGGTTCACGATTAGTTGTAACATTAGACTTTATTTGATAAACATTTATTTTAACTGTAAAATAAAACCTGTAAAAATACTGTTTAGCTGTTTAGTTTTTATACATTTTTAAAATATATATTGTCACACAGACAGTCATTTTATTGACACCGCAAAGCATACCGGTAAATGATGACGTACACTGGGTGTGAGGCTGTTAGTGAGCTATATCCACCCTGAAGGTTAATCTTGGACAATATCTGATGACTGGTTATTTTAAATGAAACCAGAGAGCGTTCACAGAGAGGAGAAGGTAGAAACGACTCAGCCTGCAAATGAAAATATGGATGGAGGACAACAGAGCTGCTTTATGGATGGACAACATCAGTTTAGCCTGTTAGCGCTAACCCTATATCACCATTAGCCCGGCGCTGGCTAACAAGCTAAACTGAGGTCCTCCATCCAAATTTCCAGTTGCAGGCTGTAATTTTCCCATTCTCCTCTCTGTCATGTGAATGGAGGATCTCGGTTTACCTTGTTAGCTTTTGCGCTAGCTAATACATATATATGGCGATATAGCATTGGCGCTAGTGTGAAAGCTAACTGGCTAAGCTGAGGTTCTCCATCCAAATTTCCAGTTGCAGGCTGAGTCATTTCGACATTCTCCTCTTTGTCATGTGAATGGAGGATCTCAGTTTGCTTTGTTAGCTTTTGCGCTAGCGCTGAGCTAATACATATAAATGATGATATAGCATTGTGCTAGCGTGAAAGCTAACTATCTAAGCTGAGGTTCTCCATCCATGAAGCAGCTCTGTCCATGAACCACCCCGAGGTGTGAGTAACCCCGGCCCCCCGGAGCGATTTTGTTGAACAGCCCTGTTCTAAACCCTGTACATACTGTTCTGTCTTGATGGTGCTAATGCACAAGTGCACCCCCACACCATCAGAGAGGCAGGCTTTTGAACTGTGAACTGATAACAAGCTTAATGGTTTGTCTCATTATCAGTATGGTGGCACCCATATAAAAACATTAAATTATGTTTTCATATACATTTTACATAACATCCCAACTTTTTCAGAACTGCAGTTGTAAAGAAAATTAAGCGACTGTTGTCAGTCAGAATGAGTTTTAGTACAGTCTATTATTGAATATCAGTTTTATCTCTTCTCCTATAAAATAAATTTGCTGTTCTCACCTTCAGATAAAAGAAAAAGTCCCTGAAAGCCACCCCCCTTCCTGTAAGGCATTACAAATAAAGATACATGACAGATATTGAAGAAAATTGCATCCATTCATCTTAGCGTTTACATATTGATCTCAACATCTTGATTGCCCTTGTTTAGTTCGCTGCTGCCCTGAGAGCYTTGAAAATGCAGCGCAGGCTGACTTCCGAGCCAAAAATTTGGAGTTTGTGTTGCAGGTGCATTATGTTTGATGGGAATAGAGYGTGAATGAAAGATTCTCATGGACTGAAATGTTCGAATTCCTGAATCGCTACAGGAAAGGAGCTTGTTTTGTTGGCGAGGACAGAGGCTTAGTAAAATATTCTGAACACACAATAAAACAAAATCTCCAAAGGACTGGGATTTGACATGCAGTAAATATGAGCGCATAATCGCACACGAAAGTAAAGCACAGTAAACTTGTAAGGTGAGTTAAACCTGATGTATGCGCGGCTTTGCAAACTGCAACAAGGCTGCTTTGTTCCACTGATGTGTCTGTAACCTAGAAAGATCCAACCTGAAAAACCAACTGTCTGACGGATGCAAATGAGAAAAACTGGGAATTGATTTTGCTTTAAACCAATACAAACACTTAGACTAATCTCAATTTACCACATTGCACYGACAGAGCGGGAAAAAGCTTAAAGAATCAACATAAAAAAGTTTATTTTTGAAAAAAAAAAAGAAACAGCCCTTACTACCCAACACTTCCTATCTTTATATATATAAGCACATAATCCCTTATATTATAACCAAGCACTGAGTTCTGAACCTTTAAGTTTTTCAGTATGACACATTTTCTTGTAGACTTTGAAAGGTTTACTATGCTCAACAAGTCATTTATTTATTTATTTATTTATTTATTTATTTATTTATTTATTTATTTATTTATTTATTTATTTATTTATTTATTTATTTATTTATTTATTTATTTATTTTATTCTGACTGTTCAGTCTAGATCTAGTGGTTTGTTGCTTTTTTTCAGGTCTGCATTTTAATACCAAAGTCATACGTATTACAATTTTATTCCTCGTTTTATTTTTATTATTATTTTTCAATCCAAGCCTTTTTTTTAAAACTCCACGTGTACGGTGGCCACTTTTTAAAAAGTATAGGTCGCAGCACCGTGTATTTCTTTCATGTACTCAATTTCCCTGCAACACTGTAGGTGTCAGCGTGTCTGAGTGATGTCAAGCGCCATGGTTGCTGGTCTCCAATTTGAGGTGTAGGTTTGAATCCAATTTCTGACAAACAGTTTCATACTCAGCACAGGGTCTCACTATGATGAAAACCTATAAGTGAGAACCTCGATGTGAKTCCAGGTAACTCAAAAGGGGAAAATGTGGCACTAGCGGTGCTCATTCTCTGTGTASTCTGCTGCAAGAGCCGCATGTCTGAAAGCCACTGTGGCAAGCCATGATAAATATGGGCTTTTTGCCATTTTGATTTACAAGCATACATTATGTTTGTCTGTCCTTTTTTTTTTAAAGAAATGCAAAAAAATATGAGGCTTTAAGAAATTCTGGCATTGTCTTCCATCAAGACAGAGAGAATTAAGCTGGCCTTTAATGTGCAAACTTGGAAGGCACATGAAACAGCTGTGTGGTTTATCGAGCTTTGCTTTGAAATTAGATCAAGACGGATGCCTCCCCTGCATAATTC